GAGTTCCCTCGGGCTGACCTCCTTAGCTCCCAGCCGGTAACAAAGTTTTATCTCCTCGTCCCCCAGGGAGCAAGAGGCAGCAACTGAAGCAAACCCCCAGGTGAACTGAAACAGGTCTTGGCTATCTAGGGCCAAGGCCGCGACCTGTCCAGCGAACTCACGGATCTGTGCTGCTGGGTTCATCTTTGGTCGGTTGTTCTGTTACGAAGTAGCAGGAATGAAGCAGAGAGGGAATCCAAACGCAAGCACTTTAATAATCCAACAAACAGGTAAACTCAGAACTAGGAACAAATAACTCCGGACACACTACAAGTAACATTAAACAACAACCGACAGCCAACAACTGAAACACAGGGGTTTAAATACACAGACAAACAAGCTAAACAAGATAACAAGGGGGCGTGGTTAATTAGAGACACCTGGGGAGACTAATAGACATAGACGAGGAACACCTGTGGACACTGAGCAACAACATGACAAAAGACAAGACACATGGCAGGATAACATGACCAACAGGGAATCACATGACAGACAAGAACAAGGAACAAAACACAAAACCCACACCGTGACAGAACCTCATTACTTGGCTGCATACAGGGTCTTTCTTTAAAGGGCCCCTATTATGCTATTTTAAAGTTTCCTAATGTTGTTGTGGAGTCTCCAACATGTTTACATGCATCAAAGTTAAAAAAAAAATGTTTAATTTCCTCATAATATACATTTGCACATCATCACACTTTCAATGATTCTCAAACGGCTCGTCAAATGAATCAATCCCTCTTAATCCCTCCTTTCTGCGAGCTACTCTGTTCTGATTGGCCAGACAGCTCAGTCTGTTGTGATTGGAGTACCGTGTACAGCACCTCGAGAAAAAAAACGCCCATTGTCATAACAACGTCAACTCTGCTTGTCCTCAGGCTTCCTACACTGTAAACTAAACACAGTAACGAACAATGACGTCGATTTGACCATATCAATGCGAGCGTGAGTCTGATGAAGAAACACTGGAAGAGCTCGTTATTCAAGCCGAACCTCCATCGCAAGGACGACTCGAGCAGGACGTTTCTCAGTGATACACTACTACTCAGTCAGTTTGAGGTACATTATAAGATGTTGCAACTGTAATTCCTCACCATCAGCATTAACAAATGCATGTCCATCAACAAACCGATTATTTTACTTGTACTAATTTATTTACAGAGTATTTTTCTAATATATTGCGGTGCACATGTGGAAACTGTATCAATAACAGAGCATGTATGCAATGTACATTAGCCGAGCTCTGAATGATCTGATGTGACATAAACATTAATAAAACAAATATTTCCTCAAAGTAGTGAGATCGACAGACAATCTGCATTAATTTATAGGTAACAGTGGCCCACAGCTGATCAGCAGAAATATTTCAGTAAGACGGTAATAATGTGAGTTAGCAGGAGACCTAACTACACAATATAAAACTCAAAACTAAGTTTTTTGAACACCATCTTTCAAGAGCAAGCGGTTTGCGAATCCTGCAATAAACTGGCTATACCTTCACATTATAGAGCACAGCGCCGTCTTCTCGAAATGATGCTGTCCAATACCCACAGGAATCAGCTCCCGGTTTGAGGTTCGAGGTTCAAGTTTTTTCCTGGTGTCTGCGCGTGCATGGGCGGGCTAATGTTTCATCTTTTTGACGTCACGACGAAACGGTTTATGACTTGTTTGAAAAAACGATTCATTTAATTGACTCAGAGTCGACTCTTACTTTTGCGAGACAATAACTTAATATACATTGCACTTTCAGATTTAAAACTTTGCAGGATGTTTTCATTAACTTAGAGCTAGGACTTTTGAAAAATCACTCCTCCCAGACCAAAGGATGATGGATCTGTTGCGACTTTAGTTTCCTTGCTTGGATCAAAGAGTGCTAAAGTTGGCATTGTGATTAGCTCTTTTTTCAGCAATGTGAATGACTCCTGCTGTGGTGTGTCCCAGGACCACAGACTTCTCTGTCTCGCAAAGGCTTTGTTTTCTCGGCCAGGTCTGGAATAAACTTCCCCAATTCATCATTCCCAGAAAGCTGTGTACCTTAGCCACATTGTTAGGCTCACGCATATTTTGAACCGCAGCCAGTTTGTCTGGATCGGGCTGTAATCCAGCTGAGGACAGCTTGTGGCTTAGGAACTTGACTTTACAAGTCTTTGCAAATTCACACTTCTTTCTGTTAAGCGTCAGGCCAGCTCTCTGCACCCTCTTTAATGCTGCGTCGAGTCTGATGTCATGTTCCTCTGGAGACCTTCCATATATGAGGATGTCATCCATGTGGCATGTTACTCCTTCCAGTCCCTCCAAAATCTGAAACATTCTCATCTGAAACAGCTCTGGAGCACTGGAAATCCCAAATGGAAGTCTCTTAAAAGAATAGTGCCCAAATGGCATAATGAAGGTAGTCAATTGTTGAGACTCTTCAGCCAAACGGATCTGCCAAAATCCAGAATTGGCATCTAATTTGGTGAAGATTTTTGCTCCCCCTAACTGGCCTAGTGTGTGGTCTACTGAGGGCAAAATAAACTTCTCTCGTCTAATCGCACTGTTTAATTTAGTCAGGTCAACACAAATTATCACTGTGTCATCAGGCTTCAGAACCGGAACAATACCAGAACACCAGTCACTAGGTCCTACGACTTTCTCGATGATGTCCTGCGTCACCATCCTGGATAACTCCTCTTTGACCTTCTCCATTAAGGGCACTGGGATCCTTCTGGCTACATTTACAGAAAAAGGTGTTGCATTGGGCTTTAACTTAATACAGTATTCCTCTTTCAGCTTACCTAAGCCTGTGAAAAGTTCTGGATATTTCTCTTGCCACTTGCATTCTGTGATGTTATCCAGTCTTGTGATAAGGTTAAGTTTTTCAATGGCATGTCTGCCCAGAAGTGGTGTGAAGAGATTTTTGACCACATAGATGTCTTCCTCTATATTTTTCGAGATGGTGATAGAAAATACTCCTTTCACATCCAAGACATTCTTTCCTGGTCCCATCAGTACTTTGCGCGTTTTCTTAACCCCCAATTTCCACCAACTGCGGAACGGCTGCCGATCCGCTCAGGAACGGCGGCAGAGTCAATAGGTTTCCATTAAAGTCAATGTGTGCATTTTCACTGACTGCGGAACGGCTGCGTTCCGACTCCGTCCCAGCTCCGGCGACCGCAGCCCTCCGGAGAAGATACGCAGAGTTTCTATTTTTGCCGGATGCCGGAGAGCGCCGCAGGAAGTCGAGCACAGAAACTAAATAAAACATCCGGTAATTTCCAAAATAAAAATATAGTTTTCCCTTTTCCAACAAGAACAATAGTTAACTTTATTTACACAGCCTACTACTTTCCCAATACATTCAAAAAGGAACCCAAATAAACATTTAGCATTTTATAAGTTGATTATATTTAATTATAAATATTGTACTAGAATCACAATAATCTCCACAAAAAAGGGAGATCAGCAGGACAGCACATGGTTGTTTCCCCTGTACACCTCTGGATGGAAACAAACTGTTGCTGGTTTTGTGGTTCTATTTATAGAAACTACATCCTGTTATATTGCGCGATCAAACGTAAATTCGCGAGATATCGTGTGTCCTCGTGACTTCAGCTGTCAGTCATGGCCGCAGCCGTTCCGCAACAAATCCGTATCTGGTAGGTATTGAAGGACGGCGGAGCACGGATCCGACACGCAGCAGAGCCTATCCGCAGCCGTTCTGCAGTTGGTGGAAATCAGGGGTGATACCTGTGTTTTTATTTGAGGCCAACAGCACAAAGATGGATTCAGGTATTGCTGTGACGTCGGCCCCAGTGTCCATTTTCATTTTCAACAGTCGCTCCAAGATGTGAATGGTTGTGTACCAGCCTTGAGTATTTGAATCTACGGCTCAGAGGAATGCTTGCCCTTCATCTGAATCACAGTCCTCTTTAACCTCATGAAGCACAGTCTTTGAATGGCATTGGCTCATATATTGCCCTGTCCTATTGCACTGATGAGAGACAGCTTCTTTGGCTGGGCAGAGATCCTTTACCTGGTATGGTGATTTTCCACATCTCATGCAGCTTGATTTCTTTGTTTTTTTATTTACGATTTTTCTGGAAATTCCTCCAATTCCCACCTTTTCCTGACTTTGGCTTTTTGTTTGAATCCTGCCTGTACATCTCTTTGTGTACAGCATCTAGCTTTAGGTCTTCGTCTTCTTCCTACCTAAGACCAGTGATCAAAGGTGTTTAGCAGTTGGAGCGAACCTTCCTAAAAAGTTTGTATCAGTAAACTCTTCTGAACTCAAGAAACTCCAAATGAACTTAGTTTTGGCCTGATTTTGTTCAAAATTACATCACACCAGTTTGTTCTTCGATTTCACCTGAAGTATATCGGGGTATTGCATATTTAATCAGATCATCTTGGCTTAAATTCAGAGTGGGAATGTTAATATTTTTAAAACTATTTGCAGGTAAATAAGGTTTTTTTGTCCTGCATCTCAATAATCAGTGTTATTCAGATTATACAACAGCTGTTGCTCCATTCCAGTTATCACAAAACATAACACTAAATAACACTAAACATTTATACGCCGTACATTTTACGTTCTATTAAAACATTTTACGTTCTGTAAAAATGTTTTTTTACAGAACAGTCCTGTGCAATCTGTACAATCTCTGACATTTTATTGAACGAAACTTTTGAGGAAATATACAGTATATTACATGTATATACACAATAAAACAATAGTTTCAGAATAAATACAGCAGCACATTAAATATTCAGGGAGTCCATAAAGACGTTGTGTCTAATGTGAGGTAGACATCTGTTTTAAATACATAGTGAAATGAAATAAAACAATTAAGCTTACATAATATAAACAGTTGTACAGGCTAAAACAGTTTACAGACTATACGTTTACAATGTCCAAACAAGATAATACTGGATACTTGCTGTGCAAACATGGTTATAATGAATTAAACCACAATGGCAGAATTACAGACTTGTCATATGACCAACTTATAATACTAGTTAATATAAAACTAGCTAATAAATATTAAGACCATGTAAGAGCCATATACATAAGAATAAATAGGTGTTGATATGGTATGGAAGGAAATATAAGTTACGGGTATGGTCCTCTAGTAGCGTGTGTGTGCCGAGTGAAGGCTTCAGAGCATGAGCTCCTGATGACACTGGGAATCAGCCGATAAATCAGTGTTTGGGATTCTCTTTCCACTCCAAGACGACACACACCAACAGTTTGGAGGCTGGCCAACGAGAGATGTCTCACACTGATATAGAGAGAGAGGGAGAAAACAAGAGCATTTTAGGGCTAGTGTGCCTCTATCGGGTCAGATTTCATTAGGATAGAGAAGAAAAGCACCTGTTTGGCCTTGTAGAATCCGTGCTTGTCACAGTTGGGGAGGTAAAAGCTCGTGAACTTCTCGCCTAACGTCTGCTGTGATTGTGCGATGACGTCCAGAGAGGTGTGAAGCTCAGTGTGACACGGACCCTACACCAGCGAAAGAAGCATCACAGAAACATTCAAGAGTAAACATCCAAAAATACAAGCTTGGGAACGACAAACCATATCAGGCCTAAATGTAAGATTTATGTTTTTAAATTGCATGTGAAATTTCCACTCATTTGGATTACAACGTTTTAACAAACTAATAAGAATTTCATAAATGAAACGGGTAAGATTTCTGGTAACCAGGTTTATATATGTATCATTAATAAATCAAATTTGTTTAAATCTCATACGCTTGGTCCACAGCTAGCCATATTTAAACCATGTTCATACTTTTTAACTGAATACATTTGTTTAGTCAATTAAGAGAATGATCTGATTCGAAGCCATTTGAATAAATGCATTTTGAAAATATGATTACTTTAAATAAATATGCAAATTCTTACCCATTTCATTTAATTATTTTGTAAACATTTTATTAGTTGGTTTATGTTAAAATGGTGTAAAGAAAATTGATGGAAAGTTTATATACAATTCAAAGGGTAACACTTTAGAATACGGTTCCTTCGTTAATGAATAACTACACAGGAACAAATGAGTAACACAACATTAACAATCTAGTAACTACTATTAACTAACAAGAAATTCTGATTAACGAATTAGTAAGAAACAGCGCACCGATGAAAGTGGTAGTTCACTATTAACTAATCAATAACTACTTTTTTTTATGCTTCCCAGAGAACTACTGTAAGAATCATGGTAACTAACTAGTAATGACTCGAGTGTTACTACATACTTCTAAAGGAATTTCTAATTATTTTAAGCTTTTGAGGTTTTTGGTGAAGTTTTAGATAGTAATTCCCATAGAAGTATGTAGTATCACTTGAGTCATTACTAGTTAGTTATCATGATTCTTACATGAAAAGCCAATCCTAAAGTGTAGAATCTTCTAATCCTTCACAAGATATTTGCACACACATATGAGGTAGGAGACATTAATAAAATCTTTTTTTTTTTTTTTTGAGGTATAGGTTAAATAATAAAATCCCTGTATATGGTATTTGGATGGCCGATAACTCAATATGTTCCAGCCGTCACCGTGACTCTGGCCAATTTTCTGGCATTCCTCTGGACTGGCATTGAATCACTACAGGACAAGCAAGGTCCCGACAACTGCATTTAAAAAGCCATTTCTTTAAAATTATTCAGTTGATAAATAGTTCTCTAGGAGAGAGCATAGGCTAATTATTTCCCAAATCATAAGTCTGCTATGCTATTACATATTGATAAACCTTGTGTATTTGTTTACAGTAGCAGTTATTAATGTTAATGTAGTGCTAGTCATTTGTCCTGCATTAGTTATTGATTAGTTTTGCATGAACTATTAATCTTCTTCAGTAGTTCTCTGGGAAGCATTAAAAAAAAAGTAGTTATCAATTAGTTAATAGTCATCGGTGCGCTGTTACTTACTAATTCGTTGATCAGAATTTCTTGTTAGTTAATATTAGTTACTAGATTGTTAATATTGTGTTACTCATTTGTTCCTGTGTAGTTATTCATTAACGAAGGAACCGTATTCTAAAGTGTTACCATTCAAAGACACAGATCTTAGAGTGAATCAAACTGCTTCAGCCAGTAAAACGGCTTGTAAATGTAAGGCTCAGTACCTGTTGGATCAGTTTCTGTCGGATGGCGTTGACTCTGGCCTTGATGCTCTCCTGTGCCTCGGCCGCGTCCTGCGGGTCGAGTGGCCTGTTGAGTCCCAGCAGGTAATGCAGCGAGCCCTGATCAGACGTGATGTCCGTGTCCTCTAGAAAGGCAATGTAGACACAAACATGAGTCGTTTCTCTCCAGTGAAACATGACCTGGGCTCTTGAAAGCAGAAACGTACCTTCCGTCTGGTCGTACCCTGCGCAGACGGCTTGACCGCGGGTCAAAGCGTGGAGCGGCCGCGGGTCGCCGGGCCTCGGGACGCAGCGCAAGCCGGTGCCGCAGTGAGCCGTGTAGACGCCACAGGAGTCTCCGTTCTTCAGCGCGCAGGACGAGCAGCATCCACAGCCCGGCTCTCGCAGGACCTCGGGACAGTCCGAGGACACGGCGGGACAGGCGGCGAGCTGCTCCGGGGAGCATGGAGCGCAGCGGATGGGTTCAGGCCCGACCACGGGGGAAAGATCCGCCGGATGGAGGAGGACGCTCACCAACATTACAAACACACACGGACCTCTCATAGCAGAACAACGAGCTGCGTGTCGCATTGAAACTAATATCTGCTGCTGTGTGTGTCAGATCTGGTTCTCTGTGGATGTGCGCCGTGTTTTTATGCTGTGACATGATGACCTCAGAGTGGTTAATCATTGACACACTCGTCATCTGTATTAACGCTGCTGTTTATTTTTTTCAGCGCATAGGTTTACTCGGTTGCGTAGATGTCAATATTTACTCTAGAACGAAGTGTGCTAAACCGATTCCTCCGCAATATGGATTGACACAATTTTGTGCCCCACTCCACCAATTACAGGCTCATTACGCTGCCTTTTAGTATACATTATTTATATAACAGATTCCAGAATCCACTACTTTGCCCATCACACAATAACACTTATGTGAGCACATCTCAAAGATGTGTTTTTGACCACCTCACTTTGAGTTAGGTCACGAAAACAAGGTCATGAGGCCGTTGCATAACAGGACGGGTTACGGTGAGGTCTTCAGCAATCATAACATGTTTGTCAGGAGGTGCCGCACAGTAATAACCACATCCTAGTGTAGTATTAGTCCAACTAGGACACATCACAAGATCTCTTGCAGGAGGTCAACCAATAGGTCAAACTTTGAAGACAACAGACACTACAGGTTTAAAAAATTGCTTGAAGATTTTAGTTTATTCCAGTTTACTCCAGTAAGCCTCAAATGACGAGCACATGAGTTCAAGCATTGTTTGTCAGGTTGATGTTCTTCAGGATCACTGTAGGCTCATTGGTGCCTATACACACACACAAACACACACCATGAGCAAATCATTTACATCCCACCCACACACACACATTTCACCAATAGATTGTGCAAGAAGAACGAAAACAGTGGACTGGAGAAGGAAAATTAAACTTCTGCCTTTCATCTTTGCTAACTAGCAAGAAAAATACCTGAAGAATGACAAATAGAAATGATAACCTCCATTCCTCTATTGTAAAGCACGGCGTCTCTTTATTCGACGGTGAGCTCGTGTGTCGTGGCCTCCTCGATGTCACGCATCAAATTCACCAGCCATTGCGGCAGATTGACCTACAGACACACACACTTCAGTCTGAACACATCGTACTTCTTTCTTCTTGCTCAACAGAATCTGCAATATTCCCTCAATAGAATTTAAGCTTTCACTTATTAATTGGCTGAATTCAGATATCTTAGATTACATCTCTACTTAATTGTGATCGCACAATCTCATGGCAATTTGCTATATTTTATGTTGTGCCTAAACTAGGGCTGTTTCATGCCAACTTCAAGGAGAATGTAGTACACAATCACTAAATGACTAACTATGGCAATTTTAATCCTGTCTTTTCACAAGGGTGGAAAACTAAATCTCATATTTTAAACTAGGGAGTTAGCTTTAAGGTATGTTTTTTGTACATGTGTAATTATCAAGGACAGTTTGATTTACCATGACCGCTTTAACCTAGAAACCTAAGTGTTGTTAGTGTGTTGCTACATGAACACATTTGTTGGAAAGTCACCTTAGACATGTGCAGGACTGGATGATCTGCGGGGACAGACGGTGAAATGCTCGTTGGGTCTTGAGCAGTTGGTCCAGTCGTCGGTCTTTTCTGCGCCTGGTCTTTACTGGTCTGATGTTTGCGCTGAACACCAGAGTGGAGCTCCAGAGACTCGTCCGGCTCCACATGCTCGGAGATGGTGTGCAGGGAACTCATGAAGCGACTGTCCTTAGATCGTAATGAAGAAAAAAGAACGAACAAAAAATGAATTTCCTGAAAATAATGTTTCCCAGCAAACAGGGAATGTTCTCAGAACATCCTTCCCATAAAATTGATAGAGTAATCTTTAGTAAATGTTCTCAAAACATTATTATACAGTGCTTAGCATAAGTGAACACACCCATGCTAAAGTTGACTATCAAGAGGAATAAAAAAAAAATTATCTTTTGGAAATTGATCTTAATGCCTTAATTAAAAAAAAAATGAGGAAAACTCCAACCTTTAAGGATAGGACACCAAATTTTCTTTGTGAATGAATAATGTATTGTAAATAAATAAATGTTCTTCCTTGAAATACAGGGTCATAAGTCAGGACACCCCTGTGTTAAACTCCCATAGAGGGGCAGATTGTTATTTTTAAAGGCCAGTTATTTCATGGATCAGGATACTATGCATCCTGATAAAGTTCCCTTGGCCTCTGGGATTCAAATATCCCACATCATCATCACATACACTTCACCACACCTAGAGATCAGCATGGTTTTATTTCAGTTCGCCTAATAGCTGGTTTGATTTGCATTGAGAGATGATCTTATGGAAAGCACCCCATGCCGATCTCTAGGTGTGAAGTTTGTGTGATGATGATGTGGGATATTTTATTCCCAAAGGCCAAGGGAACTTCATCAGGATGCATAGTATCCTGATCCATGAAATAACTGGCCTTTAAAAATAAAATTCTGCCCCTCTATGGGGATTTAACACAGGGGTGTCCTGACTTATGCACCCCTGCATTTCAAGGAAGAACATTTATTTATGATACATTATTCATTCACAAAGAAAATTGGTGTCCTTAAAGGTTGGATTTTTCCTCATTTTTTAATTAAGGCATTAAGATCAATTTCCAAAAGATGATTTTTTCATTCCTCTTTTTAGTCAACTTTAACATGGGTGTGTTCACTTATGCTAAGCACTGTTCATGGTTCATGGAATGTTTTTTTTTTCTTCCGAAACATTTTAGGTCGTGTAACATTTTTTTAAATGTTACTACTTGTTTCAGAACAGTCAGGGAACATTCAAAAGTAACTTTACCATAATGTCTGCAACATGATTAAATGGAATGTTCCCTTAACATTGAGAACAAAGAATCATCATTTTTTTAAATGGATGTTTTGAACATTCAGAAATACTTTTTCAAAACTTATTTCTAACTTTTTCAGAAAACAATAACACAATTGCTATTAATATTTGAAAAACATTTCTGCCGATTCAAAGTCATGTGCTGCAACTGTAGAAACAACACATGAACTGCTATCATAGAGAGAATTGTGTGAGACTTAAAATATCAGATCATTTGACCTTCATGTGTCAGGGTTCACAGAGGAAACAGACTGGATGGTAAGTTATTGTCGTTTATTTGTGCAGATGAATACTCAGTCGGAGATAACAGGTAAGGATCAAATGACATGGAAACATAGAACAGGCTTAGCTAAGCTGAATGGTAATGTCCTTTTCTCTCTTGCGGTTTAGAAGCAGTCACACTGGAGATGGATGATACGGAAGGATCGGGAATCTGGTAAGTAGCAGGTCAGGTGAGTGGAAGGAGAGTCTGTGAGTCATATATCGACGAGGCCAGACAAGTGACTGCAGTGAGGGTGAGTGCTTTATAGTGCATGTGGGCGATGGGACACAGGTGACGGTGATCAGTAATCAGGTGATTGTGAACGCGGGAGTGTCCAATTGGGTGATTGGGAATGAGTGGGCGGTGATGGCGATCGTGACGTGGATGGAATCCTGACATCATGTCTGGGCAAAGTTAGTTCAGACTGTAAAATATCTTCTTCAACTCTTCAAAAAGTCACTAATGATAATCAATCAAAACTTTTCTTGAAAATAAAATATTTAAAAACACGTGAAACTATCATGACCAATGCATTTAAGAACGTGGCACAGTAAAAAGAAAAAAAATCCTTGGTTGTCTTACAAGTCATTGACCCGTTTGCTCTTCTTTTAATCTGTCTATGAGAAACAGTTGAAATAATATACAGAGAGGCTTTTCTTTCACAACAGCCTAACCTCAGTTATACTATGGTAAAGCAGCATAACCTTGTTGTATTGTGATGTTTGTGAAAACGATTAACCCTGACATATACACTTCTCAGAAAAACACAGACAATTATTCTTACCGTAACTCAGTCAGTGTGAGCCGCACAGAGCCTCAGTGTCCCGTATATGACCGGTCTCTGCCACAAACACACGGAGGTCAGCTGATGATTGAGCTCAGCTGTGCAGTTAACAAGCCATTCTCCAATGACGGAAGAAACTGCAGTGTTAATGCCTGTTCACACCAACAATGATAAATATAAAGATAACTGTAGCTTTATATTTAAATTATGGTTAATTCAAGGCTGTTAAAATGCAGATCTAATTTTTGAATCTATAGTATTCTATGCCCTCCGGTCGTGCTCACATGTATAAATGTAGTAAAACATGGTTTTAGTACAGTAATGTTGTAGTAGTAACTAAAAAAAAAAAAAAAAAAAAATATATTACAGAAGATCACTGTGAAATCTTTATATTTTTTCATGCAGAATGTAATTCATTATTTAATTCATTCCCAGGCTTAATTTATTTGATCCAAAATAAGCTAAATTAGTAATATTGTGAAATATTTCTACAATTTAAAATAACTGTTTTCTATTTGAATATATTTTAAAATGTAATTTATTTCTGTGGTCAAAGCTGAATTTTCAGCATCTTTACTCCAGGTCAGTACTCTTCAGTGTCACGCGACCCTTCAGAAATGCTTTTCACTGCAACTGTACTTTGCACACTATTTTATCATTGTTTTCATTGCTGGCTTATTTTATGGGAAGTGTAGTGAATAAGAGACCTTCAAGAGACCAACATTGGTCCTCCACAGTATCAATGTTTTTGCCATCAACTGCAACTGTGGAGAGATCCTTTTCCAAAATGAGGTTAATTAAGAACCAACTCCGAAGCCTTTGCTCAGAGGAGAGACTCTCAGACCTTCATAGCCATAGAGAGGGACATCCCAGTGGATCACAGTGAACATCTTCAACCATGGCTCACAGAAGGTTGCTGTTGTAATTAGGTTTAAAGAAGCCCTGAAACCCTGCATATCTATATTATAGGGCTGTCAAATGATTAATCGAGATTAATCACATCCAAAATAAAAGTTTTTTTTTACATAATATATGTGGGTGCACTGTGTATAATTATTTTGTATATATAAATACACACACATGCTTGTATATATTTAAGAAATATTTTCATGTATATACTGTATATAGATTTATATATAAT